TCATAGTTTATTGTATTCTTAAAGTGGTACTGATGTACATCGTACAGGACTCACATTACACATGATCCATTCTCAGCTTGAAAGTGGGGCACGCTGTCTTGCCTCGGGTAAAACCCAGAACAGCGTCAAAGGTCTTAAAATGGAAAAAAGAACACGTGTGACTATTTTTTAAATGTCTGTAACGTATGTTACATTTCTACATGTTCAAAATAGTCAAATAAACAAACTTAAATGTTTGATCTAACACAGTGTTTTGAACTATTAACGCTGTAAATGCTGCCAAGATCATTAACTCATGTAATTAAAAACATTTAAAAAATATTTCTTGGTTGTATAATTTTAGGGACTTCACATTCATAAGTTTGTAAAGTAAACCCAAAATTGCATCTAGAAAGAGAAAACACAGTCATCTCCTTGTGTGAGTGATGATAATTACGTCTATTCACCATCATCGGCGCCACGGGGGCCATTGTTGTTGACGGTACGTCTGTGACTTCAATTGATTTTTGTAATCGTGTACTAACAAGGACACAGAGATATTAATATCCTTATACAAACTCCGTAACTGCACACAGCCCCTTGATTGCTAAAGATGATCGTATATATACTTTTCAACTTTTGATAAGGATACAGTCAAACCCTTATGTGTCGCAGTCGATGGGGACCTACGTAAATACTTCGAGTTATCCGAAGTCGACTCAACCAAAAACTAATGAAAATGAACGAAGAAAGAATACGTAGGGGCAAGCGTTTACTTCGAGTCACCCGTCAGTTCGACACAACCGTATCTGACTGTTTCATAATCATGCCATAACGCACATAACATTTTAAGGGCAAATTAAAATAGAATGACACGTCGTTTCGTGTTTGAATCAACACACTAATGGTATACACACACATGGTGAATATGTTGTTTAGGGGTGTTCTCTTTTTGCCTGCAGGTAATGTTTAGGGATGAAAATCAGTGGACCGTACTAATCCTTATAACAATGGTGATTAAAGCTATGGTCTATATTCGAAATGAATGTATGCCAGCAAATAACGAGAAATGGTTAAGTTTATTACTTTCCATTTGTTGCATATAGCACCTGGAAATATAATAAATGCACGAATATGAATCATTTGAAAAATATTGCATGTAACATAAACAAATACACAACCTTTCTTACAGCAACTCCACTAGACAGTTCGGTTTCTTCTTGATTTCACTCTAAACTTTTAATGACTGAGTTCACTAATCTATATGAACTGTGTTCAGTGTGGTCAGTGAGTTAACTTGAGTGAACTCCACTTACTGGAACAGACTATAATTTTGCAACTGTTAATCTTAATCATCCTCACACGTTTATTCTATTACTCAAAATATTCCACCATCAGTGGTACATGAGTATAACAAAGGAGTACATACAAAATGTACAACAAGATGACTAAATGATACATCAATTAAAGTGTTTACAAACAATATTAATGAACTTGGATACATTTTTAAGGGTAGATATTTTACTTGAAAAAAGGTTGACGGAACTTTGACAAATTTGGCCAGGAACTATAAGGTTCTTGAACAACGATTTACGTATGTCTGCAAAATAATTACATTTAAACAAATAGTGAAACTCCTCTCCAGTCAAATGTGAATCACATAAGTTACAAAATCTGTGTACTTTTGGGGTATTTTGCCATCTCCCAGTTTATCCGCTTATAGCCAATGAAAGTGTAGGCAAAAAGAGAATACATCGTTGTTTATAACAACACCCATCCACTCTCCAAGAGAGTTACTGTTCTTTTTACCACGTGTTTGCATTGGGCATAAAGCATACGGCACCGTTAACAAACAAACAAACAAACAAGCAAAGGAAACCTGAGGCAACGAGAATGGCATGGAGAGCCATTAAACTACTTTCATGCTCCGCCAAAGAAACCTACCAGAATAAGATAAGGAAGCTAGATAAAGACAGCGTGATTTACGATAAGACTGGATAATGGTGATGCGACCTTTAACCATGTGTCAGACCTTAGGGATTACGGGATATAAATGGTTACTGTTTGTAAGATGCGACTTAACTGGTCGTGTGGTCTGACTGATGACTTGACTGATTCGAGTCATACTGCCCTAGTACTGCTAAAAGCAGCTGAAAAGTATATAACCCTAACTGCATACGTGTATGTGAGGTGACTTAATTGTTCTGATGGTCAAGCAAGAAGAGTTCGTTGAAGTATGTCATCGTATGTCATCGTATGTCATATGGACCGCTTCTCATGTTGTCAGTCACTGGATTGTGTGGTCCACTCGATTATTTACAGACTGGAATTTATTGCTGGAATATTGCTGAGTGCGGCGTTAAACAAGAATCAAGTAGAGTTGTGGGAGTCATGGCGATTCCGCCCCATATCTTTAGCTCATCCAAATAACTGAATTGTCCAACCCAGACTTATTTATACACCGCCGTCAAATAGCTGGAACATTGCTGAGGCCATGACATGACATGACATTTAGTAATCACACCTGCTCAGGTAAAACACCATGCTGGCATGACCTCCATGGCATACAACTGATACGACCATGTTGCTCTATGAACGCTGGGTGTTCGGTTTGAGATTCCATTAACTGCAGTTCAATCTGCTGCAGTAATGCAGCTACACACTGAAATCGGAGAATGCGTCTGTTGTCTAAATGTCAGTTACAAATTAGAGAATGAAATTACAATTTCAGTTGCTGTGTTTCAATATGGGTGTACCCTGTAAACGAATGCAACGCGAATTGTTAACGAATTGATACAATACACCATTGGCAGATATGGTTGTTTTATAAAGAAATGTATAGTAAGAAGAGATGAACCTTTGCTTCATGTGTATATATTGCTGGGGTTTTATTGGCAGCGAGGTTTAACGCTCATGTGATCCGTGACATAACACTTTACATTAATGATGGATTCGTTTTACATTATTGCTACAAACAGTAGCTTTCATCGCCTGGCCAAATGTTTTCAGAGTATTCTGCAATGGACAGGTAATCCGTTCTTATTTGTCAAGCAGTGATTATATGCAGGTGTGGGGAATGACAGGTGCCGCTGTTAGGGTTGGACGTGCTTACCTGGTTTCTGGCGAACACCTGATGCCACCGATAGTTGTTATCAACATTTAATTAGGGATTTCATCGCCAAATCAGGTCTGTTTATTCCTATACGCTGAGTTATTTGAATAGTCCGAGTAGCTGCAAATACTCTACTGGTCAAATGTGTAAGGGGAAGACACCTACATCATGGATTCTCAATTAGCTTTGCTCATAATCACATTTGTCCGCCCAGTAGGTCCTGTACACTACTTTCAACAAATAACCGAGCTCTTGTCGCTAAACCGTCCTTGGATATATTAATTGTAATTAAAGACAAAATGTACAACTCACTCTTACCATTTTTCTTTGACTCGTGGGATTCCGGTTAAAAAGAAAACCCTAATCTCTGTAACTGTCTGACTAGTTGATCTTTTGTCAGGTAACTGCAATATATGTTACTATCTAAACCGTTTATCTATTCATAGTTAACTTATTGTTTTAACTATCTGAATAGTTCATCTTTTACCAGTTAGCCTTAATTTAATGTTTGCAACAGTTTATCTGCTGTCAGTTAACCCTGATATTTGTAACTCTCTGACTAGCTCTCCTGTTCATAGTTCGTGTAATTGAACTGTTTGAGAGGCATTCTAGAAGTTGCGAGCAATAGGAATGACAAGTCTTTATGGCTGATCATCTTCTTTATTGTACAATAGCGATGTTTCGGTATAGATACTTACATCGTTTTCAAGCAACTTGTCATTCCTGTTCATGTAATTGTTTGTACTTTCTGGACCAACTGTTTTCACGTCAACAGTTACGCCTGCGTTAATTATATATTGATATGTTTTATCAAACTTATTGTGACCACACTATCTATGAAATTCAGATTGTGTACATACAAAAAACATTTCCCTTTGAATAATAACGTTTAATGATTGGATTGTGCCTGTCAATTGGAATGACGATGGACCAAATTCAAACATTCTGAATCCGTAAAACAAATAAATCGAAATAAATGTCAAACTATGTGTTTTATTTATAAATTGTTATGTTAATCTGTCTGTTTCGAACCTTTAAGAGATTAACAGTAGTTTAAAGTGAAAGAAAAGAGTTGAAGTGTGACTCTCCTTTTGAAAATCTCCTTTTAAAATATCTGCGGGGCAAATGATAATATACTGTGACACATTCTTGCAACAGTTTGCAAAAATAATCTTAGAATGGGAAATTATATTTTATTGCAAATTAGTTCCATGAAATGAATTTGGAACACTGATGGCGCATATCATGCATGATATGTAAATGTGTGCCCACAGGTGTTTAAAGGTTCAAAGAAATTCTGTCCAAGATTATGCTATTATTTTTGTTTGCTTTTTTAACAATATATTTGGCAAAAAACACACACGCAGCACTATTCTGAGAGCTGACTATGCGTCAGTAAAGTTCATTTGGTTGTGTACTATCACCAACATATGATAACATCAATTGAGATGTATTGTTTCTTCAAACTTTCTTGTCCCTGAGAGTGAAAAGCAATATGGCGGACTTCAGTCATATATGACGTCACGAGTGAAAGGTCACGTGGTAGCCAGCGGAATATACACAATGGCCGAAGCTGAGATAACAAAAACTGGTTAAGAGATTAAAATATAAATCAAATTACTTTTGCATTAAAAATTGGGGTCCATGTTTCTGATGACTTTGTCTTTCACCCAGTCATTTATTGCAATATTCTCGTATTCTCCATTAAGCAAATTACTGGACTTGCCACAGTTCGAAGCTCTTGCCTGCTTTTTCAAAATGGTGGCGTAGTTATCGTCTGCTCGCCTGGTTCTAATAAAGAAAGTAATAAAAACGTGAGCGGTATGGCTGCGGTCTGGACCAGACAATCCAGTGATCAACAGCACGAGTATCGATGTTTATATGAAAGAAGTAACTTGAACAATGTTAATCTTATAAGCAGGTTTATTCACAAATATTTTAAACAAAATACATGTGCTGTATGACGACATTAGTTCTGTCTGGAGTGCCTCACTCGGATTTAGAAGACTGCTCCAAGTCCTACATCCTGAAATAAACCCACAAACAGACATTAGATCAGGCAGTGTGCACAATACGCGTTTGAGTGAGTCCTGTTTTACGCCGTTAATCCAATATGTCTCGACAATGGACACCAGAAATGGGCTTCACATATTATTCCCATTTGGGTAATCAAACCCGGGCTTTCGGTATGAAGAGCAAACGCTTTAACCATTGGGCTAACCCTAGTCGCTTTAAAAATCTTTCAACTTACACAGCAGTCTGACTGACTGACTGAGTTAGGTTTTACGCCGCTTTTAGCAATATTCCAGCAAAATCACGGCGGGGGACACCAGAAATGGGCTTCACATATTGTACCCATGTGGGGATTCGAACCCGGGTCTTCGGCGTGACGAGCCAACACTTTAACCACTAGGCAACCCTACCGCCCCCACGGCGGTAGTGTGTGGCTTACTGTGGCTTACGATGATGCCATGCCGCAGTTATAATACTGATAACCTACGATGATTGGTTGGTTTGTAGTTTTACGCTGCACTCAGCAATATTCCAGCTATATGGCAGCGGCCTGTAAATAATCGAGTCTGGACGAGACAATCTAGTGATCACCAGCATAAGCATCGATCTACGCAATTGGGATACGATAACATGGATCAACCAAGTCGCCCGATCCCGTTAGTCGCCTCTTACGACAAGCATGGTTTGCTGAAGACCAGTTCTAACACGGATCTTCACGGGTACCCTACGACGAACTGATTCCGAGCAGCGCTGAGATTTCATGGTGCATGTGAGCCCAGATCAATACTGACTGCAGGTTTTGTCATCATGGTTTTGAAAGTTATTTCAGGTTAACCCGGCGTGTTCTAATAATGGCAGAGATGATATCTGAGACACATTCCATAACAGGCTACAGTTTCATTTTCTGGCGAAATACAGGCCACAATGCAGTAAATTTTGGGCAAACCGAAATTCGGATAAAAGATTATCTGATCCTGATGTGGCTAAGGGACGTAACTCAGTGAGTGAATTGTGGCGATTCATTGGTGTAACACGCAGCAAAAGGCGATACTTACATAGTGTCATCATCATCATAGACCCCATCCATAAATGTGTCGTCAGATCCAGATCCAGATCCAGATCCGGATCCGGAATAACCCAACTGTTCCCGGATATCTTGTATCTGGAAAAAGTAAAGGTACAATGTGTTTGACTTACACTGCCCCTTGCACTTAGGTCCAGTTTTATAGAGGAAATCATCATCTGTGGTGACCATTTAACATACTCTTAAGACTCTCTGATGTTGGGTTCGAATCCCGTATCTGTCACGATAATGGTTATTACACGGTCTATAAGCCGATTACTAAAGTACAGAGACCCCAACATTTGTCTACTTTTTGTGGCTTTCATCTACATTAAGCTGACACCTAGTGAAAATTCTTAAACTCTTTTCACTAATAGTATATATTGTGACACAGTAATTAATTGACGGAACCCGTGAAGATCCGGTTTAGAAATGATCTTCATTACCCATGCTTGTCGTAACGGGAACGGGTGGTCAGACTCGCTGACTTGGTTGACACATCGTATCCCAATTGTGTAGATGGATGCTCATGATGTTGATCACTGGATTGCCTGGTCCAGATTTTATTATTTCAAAACCGCCGCCATATAGCTGAAATATTGCTGAGTGCGGCGTAATTGACGGCACTGACCCATCACTTAGGTCCATAATTTTTGAGTTTGAGTTTGCGTCCAACTATCTGAGTACACAAATGGTGTATTTTAAAGGCATCTGTAAACAGTTTCCCAGTTCTATTACGTCGTGTAAGTGTGCTGCGGGAAGAAAGCCCGAAGTGATGCAGGTCCCAGACGTTGATAATTTGGGTAAAATCCACGAAAACGGCTAGTTTGCTACCAAACCTTAAAACAAAACTTGCGCGAACTGGGTGTCGGACCTACGATCATAGGATTCTGCCTTGCCCAAGATACGCAACTTTGCACAGGTAATCGAGACGCCTCAAACAAGTGGGCCCCGGTCTCTAGGTGAGTCAGTGATTCTTTTAGTAATCATGCATTTGTTATACAGACACTATTTTGTTTATCAGTTAAGGAAAAAGAAAAAATACGCATACGTTTAAAAACTATACTGATGTACAAAAGAAAGTACACACCTGGTGTTTTGAGACTATTAAAAACGTAAATATTTTGCTAGCAATGTTCCAATTGGGTACGATATCTGTGATGTTATTGCAACACGTACACAATGTTTGTGACTTGTGAGTCGCAATCAAAACACGTTTCTAAATATTACGCTGTTTTTAGGAAAACATTTTACTAAAGCATCAGGTGTGTACTTTCTTTTGAACGTCAGTTTAGATTGGATCCACGTGTTGATGTTATCAAGCGTTAGTGAGCTGAAAACTGTTACCCAAATACTGCAAAGTTCATTTCCAAAATATAACTTTGATCCAGGTACCAAGTACCTTTCTGTTTCTTTATAGATGTATACTTTCTTTAGCCCCTCGGTTTAGTCAAATACCAAAGATTGTAATACAAATTAATTTTTTAATTGGCTTGGTGATTGTGATGAAATAGGTTTAAGTTTCTTACGACATCAGCGGCATTTAGGCTGGCGACTTCATCCAATTTCTCTGCCATTTTTTCAGAGAGGTCACTCTCCACATCGGTGTCCGCAAAGCATGCTGGGAGGAGGAGCAGGATGCAGAGAAACAGACCTGTGGTGTTCATGGTTACTTCGGTATCGTCTATTCTACAACAGAATATTACGGTTAACTTTAGTAATCACGTATCGGATTCGATAAGGCTCGGGAAGCGGCTGGATGCCATCGTATCCTAACTGTGTGGGGACATTACATAGAGACATATTCCTTATTTCCTCCAACTGAATAAAGATTACAATATGAAGAAATAAGTAAGTCACATGACTAACACGAACCAATCATTTCCTTTGCACAGATTCAGTTATGTGCATGTCGTTATAAAGGGTGAATAATGCCGAGGTAAACATCAAATGGACATTTCTGATGTCCCATTGTAAAACAATGTTCACTCATTTAAACACGACATAAATATATGGGACATTTACACCAAATGGGACACTTGGTGTCCCCATTTTAACCCAGATCCGCCTCAGGTACACAGCGTTCGACATTCGACTTTTCGGTTGACATTGTCGAGTAAATGGTAAATTTAGACAGGCGCTCATGGGGACTGTGGTGTAGCCTAGTGGTTAAAGCGTTCACTCGTCACACCGATGACCCGGGTTCGATTCCCCACATGGGCACCATGTATGAAGCCCATTTCTGGTGTCCAGTGATATTGCTGGAGTTTTGCTAAAAGCGGCGTAAAACTAAACTCACTCACTCATTCCGAAGCTCAGTCCTGTATATAGCTACACATCATGCTTCCTTGAAAGGATATAAACTAAGGTAACATGTTTCCTGACAAACCATGCTTGTCGTGGTAGGCAACTAACGGGGTCGGGTGGTCAAGCTCGCTGACTGGTTAATGCATGTCATCGTAACGTTTTTATGTTGTTTTATGCCGCGCTCAGCAATATTCCAGCTGTATGGCAGCGGTCTGTAAATAATCGAACTGGGCCAGACAAGCTAGTGATCAACAGCATGAGCATTGATTTAGGAAACTTGGATACGAGAACATGCGTTAACCAAATCACCTAACCACCCGATCCCGTTAATCGCTTCATACGACAAGCATGGGTTGCTGAAGACCAATTCTAACCCGGACCTTCATGGGTCTTATCGTAACCAACTAGCTTACATTGGTACTCTTGATCTCAAAGACTGGATTGTCTAGTCTAGTCCTGCTTATTCACAGACTGGAATATAGCTGGAATAGTGCTGAGTAGACAACAAACAAATACAAAATTTACATCTGGACATACCACTGACTGTTCAAACGGGAAAATAAGGGATTTTGTGTAGTGTTGTCTCCTTACCTTACACAAACAGCAAGCAGAGTGGAACTGACACATCCAAGGACTGGCATCGGTAGAAATAGTCTCTGGATGATCCTGAAGTCCGAAGTATTCGCCCTAGTACATCAACGGACGCGGCTGACCATGACGGTGTCTGGTAGATACAGCATGTTCTGAAGTTTGAATTTTTACACGTAAAACATGGTATCGCATGACCGTTGAAGCAGATACATTGTTATTTATCAGTATGTTTAAACATGCATCGTGGAAGTTGTCAGTAGTCGTCCACCCTCCTCACTCTCCTGTGCGCACTACCTTTGCCACTCCACATTGCAAGTGTTGATGGTCAGCCCTGACGTGACGTTGTCCGGTCACACCGTGTTGTTCAGACAAATGGCAGTTTTGTCGCCGTTTAAAGGTACAGTATTTTCACTCATAACTGATTATATCATTACATAGCTGCAATTTCCATACATGTGTGAGTGAGTGAGTATAATGTTCAGCACTATCACAATGGGGAACGTAAGAAATGGGCTTCACACAAAGTACAGAACCCAGGAATTGAACCCGGGTCTTCGGCGTGACGGGGATCGCTTAAACCACAGGGCTACCCCTGTATGTGTGTCAACGATACTTAGGAAACTAACAGGCAAAAATGAATATACAAAGTTTGACTTTTAATACTTGTAAATTGAGGAACTGTTGTTAAATTTGATTATGCTTAATACACCGGCACTCATTCCTAAACATTCTTTAAAGATAAAATACACATTTGTGGCTGAGTAATTTTGGTAAAATCTGGTATAGAGAAGACTGCGATATGTTATGAATTTGCAACCACATCACCATTGCATGTGTTAAATGCACATTTATTGATTTCCACAGATAAAATTAGTCAACCTAGCCGTATAGTTTGCTGTGTGGTTTATTTGATTCAAGTTATGTGCATCCCATCAAGGTTCACTCCGCTTTTTCTTTCCTTCGAAACTGTTTTATTGTGGTAAATCCGTTTGCGTTTGATTTGTGAAGATCCGGGTTAGAATTGATCTTCAGTAACCCATGCTTGTCGTAAGAGGCGACTAACGTGATCGGGTGGTCAGGCTCGCTGTCTTGGTTAACCTAATTGCGTAGATCGATGTTCATGCTGGTGTTCACTGGACTGTTTGGTCCAGACGCTTTATTCTAAACTCCCAATATAGTTAATATAGGCAGTCAAGCTTTATTCTAAACTCCCAATATAGTTAATATAGGCAGTCCAGCTTTATTCTAAACTCCCAATATAGTTAATATAGGCAGTCAAGCTTTATTCTAAACTCCCAATATAGTTAATATAGGCAGTCAAGCTTTATTCTAAACTCCCAATATTCTAAACTCCCAATATAGTTAATATAGGCAGTCAAGCTCAAACTTTAGTTAATATAGGCAGTCCAGCTTTATTCTAAACTTCTAAATTCTAAACTCCCAATATAGTTAATATAGGCAGTCAAGCTTTATTCTAAACTCCCAATATAGTTAATATAGGCAGTCCAGCTTTTATTCTAAACTCCCAAAATAGTTAATATAGGCAGTCCAGCTTTATTCTCAAACTAAACTCCCAATATAGTTAATATAGGCAGTCAGCTTTATTCTAAACTCCCAAAATAGTTAATATAGGCAGTCAAGCTTTATTCTAAACTCCCAATATAGTTAATATAGGCAGTCAAGCTTTATTCTAAACTCCCAATATAGTTAATAATATAGTTAATATAGGCAGTCAAGCTTTATTCTAAACTCCCAATATAGTTAATATAGGCAGTCAGTCAGCTTTATTCTAAACTCCCAATATAGTTAATATAGGCAGTCAAGCTTTATTCTAAACTCCCAATATAGTTAATATAGGCAGTCAGTCAAGCTTTATTCTAAACTCCCAATATAGTTAATATAGGCAGTCCAGCTTTATTCTAAACACCCAATATAGTTAATATAGGCAGTCAAGCTTTATTCTAAACTCCCAAAATAGTTAATATAGGCAGTCCAGCTTTATTCTAAACTCCCAATATAGTTAATATAGGCAGTCCAGCTTTATTCTAAACTCCCAAAATAGTTAATATAGGCAGTCCAGCTTTATTCTAAACACTCAATATAGTTAATATAGGCAGTCAAGCTTTATTCTAAACTCCCAAAATAGTTGATATAGGCAGTCCAGCTTTATTCTTAACTCCCAATATGGTTAATATAGGCAGTCCAGCTTTATTCTAAACTCCCAATATAGTTAATATAGGCAGTCAAGCTTTATTCTAAACTCCCAATATGGTTAATATAGGCAGTCAAGCTTTATTCTAAACTCCCAATATAGTTAATATAGGCAGTCAAGCTTTATTCTAAACTCCCAATATAGTTAATATAGGCTTTATTCTAAACTCCCAATATAGTTAATATAGGCAGTCAAGCTTTATTCTAAACTCCCAATATAGTTAATATAGGCAGTCAAGCTTTATTCTAAACTCCCAATATAGTTAATATAGGCAGTCAAGCTTTATTCTAAACTCCCAATATAGTTAATATAGGCAGTCAAGCTTTATTCTAAACTCCCAATATAGTTAATATAGGCAGTCAAGCTTTATCCCAAACTCCCAATATAGTTAATACAGGCAGTCAAGCTTTATTCTAAACAGTCAAGCTTTATTCTAAACACCCAATATAGTTAATACAGGCAGTCCAGCTTTATTCTAAACTCCCAAAATAGTTAATATAGGCAGTCCAGCTTTATCCCAACCAACCAATACAGTCAAAATGTAATCACTGAAATCAGAAAGTTTGTAAGTTTGAATGTTTATTGACGGAAGACTGCATGTCTAATGTAAAGCATGTTCCCGTTCAGTTTATTGTTTAACGCCACACTCAGCAATATTCCAGCATGTATTACCAGCATGTATTACCAGCATGTATTACCGGCATGTATTACCAGCATGTATTACCGGCATGTATTACCGGCATGTATTACCGGCATGTATTACCGGCATGTATTACCGGCATGTATTACCAGCATGTATTACCGGCATGTATTACCAGCATGTATTACCGGCATTACCAGCATATTACCGGCATGCATATTACCGGCATGTATTACCGGCATGTATTACCAGCATGTATTATATTACCAGCATGTATTACCAGCATGTATTACCGGCATGTACACCGTATTACCAGCCAGCATGTATTACCGGCATGTATTACCGGCATGTATTACCAGCATGTATTACCGGCATGTATTACCAGCATGTATTACCGGCATGTATTACCGGCATATATTACCAGCATGTATTACCGGCATGTATTACCGGCATGTATTACTGGCATGTATAACCAGCATGTATTACCAGCATGTATTACCAGCATGTATTACCAGCATGTATTACCGGCATGTATTACCGGCATGTATTACTGGCATGTATAACCAGCGTGTATTACCAGCATGTATTACCAGCATGTATTACCAGCATGTATTACCAGCATGTATTACCGGCATGTATTACCGGCATGTATTACCGGCATATATTACCGGCATATATTACCAGCATGTATTACCAGCATGTATTACCATCATGTATTACCAGCACGTATTATCAGCATGTATTACCAGCATGTATTACCAGCATGTATTACCAGCATGTATTACCAGCATGTATTACCAGCATGTATTACCGGCATATATTACCAGCATATATTACCAGCATGTATTACCAGCATGTATTACCGGCATGTATTACCAGCATGTATTACCAGCAATCTGATATCCATACAGTAAATGTAACTTAGGGGTGAGATAAACGCGTTAACTTGGATATGTTTCAATACCACACATCAAGCACTTTTCTGGGCACAGATGCTTGAAACTTTATATGATAGTGCATTTATCAAGCACTTGTTTGGGTACAGATGCTAGTACCTTTATTTGATAGTGTATTTATCAAGCACCTGCTTGGGTACATAACCACGTGATGGGTACATAAGTTGGTGCATTTATCAAGTACTTGTTCGGGTATAGATGCAAGTACCTTTATATGATAGGGCATTTATCAAGCACTTGTTTGGGTACAGATGCTAGTACCTTTTTTTGATAGTGTATTTATCAAGCACTTGTTTGGGTAGAGATGCAAGTACCTTTATATGATAATGTATTCGTCAGGCACTTGTTTGGATGCAGATGCTATTACCTTTATTTGATAGTGCATTTATCAAGTATTTGTTTGGGTACAGATGCTAGTACCTTTATATGATAGTGCATTTATCAAGCACTTGTTTGGGTACAGATGCTACTACCTTTATATGACTGCATGTATCAAGCACTTGTTTGGGTACATAACCACGTGTTTGGGTACATAATTTGGTGCATTTATCAAGTACTTCTTTGGGTATAGATGCAAGTTCCTTTATATGATAGTGCATTTATCAAGCACTTGTTTGGGTACAGATGCTACTACCTTTATATGACTGCATTTATCAAGCACTTGTTTGGGTACATAACCACGTGTTTGGGTACATAATTTGGTGCATTTATCAAGTACTTCTTTGGGTATAGATGCAAGTTCCTTTATATGATAGTGCATTGATCAAGCACTTGTTTGGGTACAGATGCTACTACCTTAATATGACTGAATTTATCAAGCACTTGTTTGGGTACATAAGCACGTGTTTGGTACATAAGTTGGTGCATTTATCAAGTACTTGTTTGGGTATAGATGCAAGTACCTTTATATGATTGTGCATTTATCAAGCACTTGTTTGGGTACAGAGGCTAGTACCTCTCTAAGATAGTGCATTTATCAAGCACTTGTTTGGGTACAAATGCTAGTACCTTTATATGATAGTGCATTTATCAAGTACTTGTTTGGGTATAGATGCAAGTACCTTTATATGATAGAGCATTCATCAAGCACTTGTTTGGGTAAAGATGCAAGTACCTTTATATGATAGTGCATTTATCAAGCACTTGTTTGGGTACAGATGCTAGTACCTTTATATGATTGTGTATTTGTCAAGCAGTTGTTTAGGTGCAGATGCTACTACCTTTATATGATGGTGCCTTTATCAAGTACTTGTTTAGGTACTGATTCTTGTACCTTTATATGATAGTGCATTTATCAAGCACTTGTTTGGGTACATAACCACGTGTTTGGGTACATAAGTTGGTGCATTTATCAAGTACTTCTTTGGGTATAGATGCAAGTACCTTTATATGATAGTGCATTTATCAAGCACTTGTTTGGGTACAGATGCTACTACCTTTATATGACTGCATTTATCAAGCACTTGTTTGGGTACATAAGCATGTGTTTGGCACATAAGTTGGTGCATTCATCAAGTACTTGTTTCGGTATAGATGCAAGTACCTTTATATGATAGTGCATTTATCAAGCACTTGTTTGGGTACAGATGCTAGTACCTTTATATGATAGTGTATTTACCAAGCACTTGTTTGGGTGCAGATGCTAGTAGCAAGAAGCACTTGTTTAGGTACTGATTCTTGTACCTTTATATGATAATGCATTTATCAAGCACTTGTTTGGGTACAGATGCTAGTACCTTTATTTGATAGTGCATTTATCAAGCACTTGTTTGGGTGCAGATGCTACTACCTTTATATGACTGCATTTATCAAGTACTTGTTTGGGTACATAAGCATGTGTTTGGGTACATAAGTTGGTGCATTTATCAAGTACTTGTTTGGGTATAGATGCAAGTACCTTTATATGATAGTGCATTTATCAAGCACTTGTTTGGGTACAGATGCTAGTACCTTTATATGATAGTGCATTTATCAAGTATTTGTTTGGGTACAGATGCTAGTCCCTTTATTTCATAGTGGATTTATCAAGCACTTGTCTGGGTACATAAGCACGTGTTTGGGTACATAAGTTGGTGCATTTATCAAGTACTTGTTTGGGTACATATGCTATATTATTTTTAGTACCTTCATTAAGTTTCAGCTGACAGAGACAGAGTTAACTAATATACGCTACTGTTTGACACATGAAGACATACCCAATCCAGTCGGAACGTACGACTGACTCGGCTTGCAGCATTTTAGAGATTTCTTGTACGACTGAAAATGGCGGCTTTGTCGCTTTGTATATAATTATTGTTGGTTTCATCTTCTATTGACTTCTAGAGTGTGTCTCCATGCTCTTGTAAAATTGTTTGTTTTTTGCTTGTTTGTTTATCGTTTAACACCGCACTCAGCAACATTCTAGATATATGGCGGCGGTCTGTACATAATCGAGTCTGGACTAGACAATCTAGTGACTGACATCAGGAGCATCGAGTTACGATGGGTTACGATAACATTTGTCAATCAATTCAGCGAGCCTGACCACCCGATCCTGTTAGTCGCCTCTGACGACAAGAATGGGTTGCTGAAGACCAATTCTAACACTATATAGCTGGGATATTGCTAGTGCGTTGAAACAACAAACACAATTCATAATAAACTCGCAGAAAATTCATTGCACAATTTATTTCGTGTAATTAACATATGATTTCATACATTTTCAAAAATGGATTCTGGTAGTCCTTTGGGCATGAGTTGGTCTGTGTGATTTATATCGCTGGAACAGATAGGACATGTCTTTAGGTCATCAGTGGAGATGATATATGTATATGATTAAAATGTATTGCATAAGAAACATGATACAAGAAGTTATATTTAAGGGGCGGTGGGGTAGCCTAGTGGTTAAAGCGTTGGCTCGTCACGCCGAAGACCCGGGTTCGAATCCCCACATGGGTACATTGTGTGAAGCCCATTTCTGGTGACCCCCGCCATGATGTTGCTGAAATATTGCTCAAAGCGACGTAACACTAAACTCAGTCAGTCAGTCAGTCAGTTATATTTAATGATGATTACTACAGGTAACAGTTTCGTGAGTGAGTGAGTTTAGTTTTAGGCTGCAATCAGCAATATTCCATCTATATTGCGGCGGTCTGTAAATAATCGAGTCTGGACTACTCAATCCAGTGATCAACAGCATCTACGCCATTGGGATACGATGACAAGTGTCAACCAAGTCAGCGAGCCTGACCCCCCGATCCCGTTAGTCGCTTGTTACGACAAGCATGGGTTACTGAAGACTAATTCTAACCCGCATCTTCTCGGGTCAGGTAACAGTTTAACATAGTTAGATGTATTATTTCAAAACAGGTATAGAGAAAACCTAAGCAAGAACAGAAATTATGAAGTACATTGGGAGCTAAACATATTTAGCGGCGTAAATCAACGTTCATTTATTGTAACAAATTCACTTGAGCAGTGAAGAACATCCACGCCTGTCATGATGCCACTCCCTGATTTGAGATATCACATGTCACCTAGAGCTAAAGAATATAATTTACGGATCAGTAATTGGAAAAGCCGGAATAGCTTCAGATATCTTTGATAGGCCATTTGTGTGAGTGAGGGAGCTGGGTTTCATGCCGCTTTGAATACGACGAGACAATAGGGGGGCGGTGGGGTAGCCTAGTGGTTAAAGCGTTGGCTCGTCACGCCGAAGACCCGGGTTCGATTCCCCACATGGGTACAATGTGTGAAGCCCATTTCTGGTGTCCCCGCCGTGATGTTGCTGGAATATTGCTAAAAGCAATAGGAGACAATAGAAATGCGCTTCACGCAGTTTACCTTAATTGAAATCGAACTTTTGTCCTTGGCATGAAGAGCGAGCGTTACTAGGCAACCACACCGCCTCTGAGTAGCGTTTTAAATTTCGGTACATCATTAATGACATTATGATCTGTCCAAGAATTGATCTCTTTATCAGACAGAAGCGTAATCGAATGTTCAGAACACTTAGTAACAGACGAAGTATCAGAATAACGAAGTTCTCTAATAGTTACAGTTACTTTTTGTCCGACAGTAGCATAATCCAGTTATTTAACTGTCAGCTCTAATTAAGAAACGATGACATAACCTTGTTATTCAAATTTTAACCAAATTTCAGTAAGAAGGATAATAGAGTTATTTAACAGCGCTATTAGCAAGACACCAAAGTAACCAAAATATTTCATATTTTCATCGCCATTTGTCAAAAAGTTTCACAATGAAGCCTCTTGATGACCTTCATTAAGCCTGTTACATATACTCTCCCCAATAAGAAGCGCATATGTCAAGTTGATAAATGGAAAGAATTAGGGTGTGATTGTTATAATTTCTGCTGGTTTGCGTACAGCGCAAAAACGCATCTACGGAAACTTTAATGCAGGTTTACGTTCGAAAATGTCAACTTACATAAAAATGTCATAGAGCCAAAATGGTTCGCAATATGCACGTGCAGTTATGAGGAATCGTGAACAGAGACATTGCCTATTTAAGGCGGTTTTGCTCTTAGACCATCAAATGGCATTTTAGCCAAATGAAAGAATATCGTTATGCCGCGACTCACTGCTGTAAACATTACCGTTGGACGTCTGCAGGCTAGGGAGTCTCAATCTGCCGTTGCACGTCACCTCAATGTTCAACAGAGTACCAGCAGTCGTTTTTGGAATCGATATCAGCAAACCAATTGTACACAATAGACCTCGAAGTGGTAGACCTCGGATAACCACTGCAGCGCAGGAGAGATGGATCCGGGTACTTCATTTGCGGAATCGAACTGTCACAGCATATGTAACTGTAACTGCAAGTGCCGTGCCTGGTTTCAGGAGACTGTCGGCGCAAACCATTCGTAATCATTTACGAGAAGCTGACCTTCGATCAAGAAGACCCTATTTTGGCCCTGTACAGCAGCGACTACATCGACGTCGACGGGCCCAATGACGTTTGATCGTGGGATCTACAAAACTGGGTACGTGTATGGTTCAGTGACGAATCATGCTTTCTGCTTCAGTGCCGTGACGGAAGAGTACGTGTCTATCGACGTCGGATTGTGTCGCCCAGGTTCACAGATATGGTTGTGAAAGCGTCATGGTGTGGGGAGCCATATCCAAAACGCAAACAATTTTGTAGGCCTTCGGGGCAATTTATTCGGTACAGTGCTCATGGCCTTCCAAATCGCCCAAAACTCAACCCAGTAGAGTATTTGTGAGATGACCTCGGCCGACGAGTACGTAAACGTCAACCGACGTTAGATCAACTGTCGCAGGCACTGCAAGAGGAATGGGCCAGAATTCCACAAGGTCGAATTCAGGGACTTATTCCGCCATGCCAAGGTGGTGCAGAGTAGTTGTGAGGGCTCATGGTGGCAACGCCCAATTGGGAATGGGCGTCTTCGCTTATTGAACTTTTTATAAGCTATACATGTTAACATACATTTATTCCGTGAAATTTGGCTGCAACTGATCCAGAATTACATGTGTTATCTCACGTAGCAGTTAGCAGATTAAATTTGTGAAATTACATCTATGCGCTTGGGAGAGTATAGCTCAAGTCTATTCCAACAGAATCTGCTACACTCGTAGCTTTTGTATTGATTAATCAGTAAACATTTACACTAACCTGAAAACATGCCAGACGCATTACTAACGACGCCATCTGTATATGCTGCGTCTGCCATGTCTGCCATATCTGCCATGTCTGCCATGTCTGCCACGGTGCCGGCCGTACCTACGATGCCTGCCATGGTGCCAGCCGTGCCTGTGATGTCTACGATGGTGCCAAGGATGCTTTCGATGTCTGTGGGGTTTGCACTTACCATCGCCGCTATCATCTCCACTGTTGTCTCCACTGCCGTCACCACTATCGTCACCACTATCATCGCCACTATCATCCCCGCTATCATCGCCGCTGTCGTCTCCACTATCATCTCCACTATTGTCTCCACTATCGTCACCGCTATCGTCTCCACTGTCGTCTCCGCTATCATCACCACTATCATCTCCGCTATCATCGTCGCTATCATCCCCACTATCATCACCGCTATCGTCCCCACTATCATCACCACTATCATCATCACATATCGTCCCCACTATCATCCCCACTATCATCACCACTATCATCATCGCTATCGTCACCACTATCGTCCCCACTGTCATCCACATCGTCGCTATCGTCTCCACTATCGTCCCCACTATCATCACCACTATCATCATCACTATCGTCACCACTATCGTCTCCACTATCATCCCCACTGTCATCACCGCTGTCATCCCCACTATCATCCCCACTATCGGCACCACTATCGTCTCCACTATCATCCCCACTGTCATCATCGCTATCATCCCCACTATCATCGCCGCTATCGTCTCCACCATCATCACCGCTGTCATCTCCACTATCATCCCCACTGTCGTCACCACTATCATCATCGCTATCGTCGCCGCTATCGTCTCCACTATCATCGCCGCTATTGTCTCCACTATCGTCACCACTATCGTCTCCACTATCGTCCCCACTGTCATCATCGCTATCATCCCCACTATCATCGCCGCTATCATCGCCGCTATCATCTCCACTATCGTCACCACTATCATCCCCACTGTCATCATCGCTATCGTCACCACTATCGTCTCCACTATCATCCCCACTATCATCACCACTATCATCATCGCTATCGTCACCACTATCGTCGCCACTATCATCCCCACTGTCATCACCGCTATCATCCCCACTATCATCCCCGCTATCGTCACCACTATCGTCTCCACTATCATCACCACTGTCATCATCGCTATCATCCCCACTATCGTCTCCACTATCATCGCCGCTATCGTCTCCACTATCATCACCGCTGTCATCTCCACTATCACCCCCACTGTCGTCACCACTATCATCATCGCTATCGTCACCACTATCATCGCCACTATCATCGCCACTATCGTCTCCACTATCATCGCCACTATCATCGTCGCTATCGTCTCCACTTTCATCACCGCTGTCGTCTCCACTATCATCACCGCTGTCATCACCACTATCATCGCCGCTGTCATCTCCACTATCATCCCCACTATCATCGCCACTATCGTCTCCGCTACCACTACCGTCGCCACTGTCGTCGCCGCTACCACTACCGTCGCCACTATCGTCGCCGCTACCACTACCGTCGCCACTATCGTCACCGCTACCGTCGCCGCTACCGTCACCACTATCATCGCCGCTACCGCCGCCGCTTTGTCCCCAGCCACGTCTCCACCCATATCTCCAACCTATGCCTCCCCTGCGGTGTCCTTGTCGGCGTATTCCACTGCGTGTCTGTCCCCACCTTCGGAATAAGGTTCCAAATCTGCTTCCCAATCTGATACCGGTTCTTCTTCCGTAGGTGCTCCCAGTTCTGCTTCCCCATCCAACGCTGCTACTGCCACCAATTCTCCTTACGTAAGTGCTCCCAGTTCTTCTTCCGTAGGTGCTCCCAGTTCTGCTTCCCCATCCAACGCTGCTACTGCCACCAATTCTCCTTACGTAAGTGCTCCCAGTTCTTCTTCCGTAGGTGCTCCCAGTTCTGCTTCCCCATCCAACGCTGCTACTGCCACCAATTCTCCTTACGTAAGTGCTCCCAGTTCTTCTTCCGTAAGTGCTCCCAGTTCTGCTTCCCCATCCAACGCTGCTACTGCCACCAATTCTCCTTACGTAAGTGCTCCCAGTTCTTCTTCCGTAAGTGCTCCCAGTTCTGGTCCCGTAGGTCCTCGCAGTTCTGCTTCCCCATCCAATGCCGTTACTGCTGCCATATCTTACGTGTCTTGATTCAATGTTCTTTTCGACTTCGTTTGTATCAGCTTCAGCCTGAACAAAAACAAAAGGTGACGGGGTGTCAAGTGATACGACTGCTATGCTGTGAAGGACATCTTTATACGATCACACTGCAATGTCTCTAACTCGACACACGCATTAGTAATTCGTTATGGATTGCAGTATAATTTATCTTATTGAACGATCGTGTACATCTTAGATGGTCGAAGGAATCGGCCCTCAGGTCACATATGGTTCATGTACAGAGCGCAACTCACCCCCCTCACACCTCCCTCTCCAAACTCTACGCCAACAACATCCCTCCCATCCACTACCTGACTTTGCGTTGATTATAACCGTGCGGGACATTTTCCTTCACACTTGCAATGCTATCATTTTAGATTGCTTTACATTTATTGAATATGCTGTGTCCTTGATAGGTTTCAGAAATGTTATATGGAATAGGGCTTACCGGTACTTCAGCATCTTTCTTGGATAAGTGAGGCTGGTCGTCAGCACCTTCACCCGCTACAGCCTCCGCTGTGCATCCTGGAAGGATGAGGAGTAGGCAGATGAAGACAACTGAGGTCTTCATGGCAACAGATCTGAAACAAAAACGCGTCAACTGATAATAAAAGCGACTAAATCAATTTTCCACTGTCATAAGAAATCTCGTCCATTGTAATGTGGGTGAAATACGAGTGTGTTTCTTTCAGCAAATAGTGATGATGACAGGTGTTAGCGAAAAGGTGGGCGCATCCTGCCCCACACATCACAACACATGGAAAGACAAGTCAATTCTTCGGGTGAACAATTACGGTAAAGATATGCTTCAAGTAAAATACAACAATCTAACAGTGAAAACAGGCATAACGGCATCAGTGATTCTGGGACTGGAGGCCATTCTAATTTGTCATGATTACGTCCTCAGAACTATTAGAGGCGGCAGGGGCTCATTCTCACTTACCGGGGATTAGAAGAGATTAACAGTTACGGGTCAGTGAGTGTGCAGGGTGAATTTGTTACCCCTGCTTTGGCTGTAACATAACTTCACGCAGCACTCCTATTTCACATTCAACAAAACAAGGGTTTCTGGTGTCCCCTGCTGGAATATGGCTAAAAGCGGCGCAAAACCCAACTCACTCACTCACTTAGAACCATTCTTTGTGTATGCCGTGCACCTTATATCACAAAATGTATTCGGCTCATTCCGCCAACTTCATAATATCACGGACAGCAAATGAGTGGTTACATTTTAATACAACCTGGATCCTGATGCATAAACACCGGAAACCTAGCCGACAAGTCAGTCTTGTCATGGTAGAATATGTGGATGCTCAGTGTAGCAGCTACATCTAAATACAAATGACCGGTGACATTTTCAAATGGAGATGCCCGTCAAGTATTGACGTTACATCACTTTATCAGTTTCATTTTTACATTTCATCTTTTTTTACATTTCAACTAAAATGTAAACACGTCTCATTTCTATCTTACTAAATTTAAATACCGAATGAACTCAGTTACGACTGTAAATATACTCTCCCCAAAAAGAAACGCATATAGGAAGTTCAACTGTATTATTTTGTTTATTTTGAAACATATTGTCGGCTTTATGAGTCAATGGAATATTCTACGCCAATTCGGTAGGCTCCAGGCCTGAACGTTGGTGCACCATTGAACTCGATGTCGACGATGTTGTTGTCGAAGCACAGGGCCAAAATAAGGTCTTCTGGTACGTCAACCAGCCTCTCTCAACCTGTTCCTGACGGTCTGTGCAGAAAGCCTCCTCAATCCGGGTATTTGTCGAGCGGTATTGGTCGCCGTAGCTGTTCGATGACGCAGGTGATGTACCCGGATGTAGCGATCCTGCGCCGCAGTCGCCCACTACGAGGGGCATCTGCTACCGAATTCTGCCGGCGATATCTCTCCCAGAGCCGTGAAATGGTGCTTTGGTGAACATTCATGCGTCGGGCAACTGCACGTTGAGACTGGCCAGCTTCTAGCAAACCAATGGCGATATGACGGTTGGCTTCACTTAGACGTGGCATTTTGCGTTCGTCAACAATATTCCAAATACAGTGAATAATCGACAGACAGCGATCAACCTTCTATACCTATCATTGAGACTATCTGATCCCCAACTTTCACGTGCATTGCATGTGAATTGTGTATTCTGTGACACTACACGCCGAAATTGAAAATCATGCTGTTAAATACGGGTATTTTACGGATGGTGCGTTTTGTTGTGATGTTTCAAAACATAAACACCATGGGACTCATAAACAGAGCAAAACCTTTTGTGAAATGAATCACGTTTTAATTCATTGCTACATGAAATTGCTATTTTCATGATGCGTTTCTTTTTTGGGAGAGTATATATATGTCAACCACATCATCCGGCTTTCCATTCCTGTCGCAATTACAAACCAAAGGTAAGTCACCTGCACAAGTTAATTCACCCAGGCAAGGGTCGATTACAATATATACTTTCGATAAAATACTTTCAAATACATTTCAGAAGGAATAGTTGTAGTATATACCCATTGGAAGTGATACCATTAAGATGTACTTTTAAAAACAAGAATTTAAACATACACTTTAGAATTGGAGATTGCAATATATACGTTAGAAGAATACTATACTTTGGATGAATATTTGTGATATGTGCTTTAGAAGAATACTTAGTATAAACATATTTTATACTTAGGAAAAATATGTTTAGCATATACATCAGAAGAATAATAGTAATAAATACTTTGGAAGATTACTTGTAATATATACTTAGAAAAATGCTTGCAATATATACTTAGGGGGAAGACATGCAATATATAAATTACTTAAGAAGGGATGCTTGCAATATATACCTAAGACGGAGCGTCTTAAGAAGAAACTATAACCTCAAAATATAAAATCAAATTTATTAAATTCAGTTAAAACTATACGTTTTGGTGCAACGAAAACAAACTATAGATCAGTTGCCAGCATTTGTTACCTGTACTCCCCAAGAAGTCGATAACGTACCTGGATGGTTGACTTGTTTGATGTCTTAACTATCAGTGGGTCAAGCGTGTCCAGGTGTTGACGAGGATCTGCATGGCTGCCACCCTTGATATAGCCCCTCGATTTGAAAAGAACGCATCTCACTGAAGTTGTAAGTTAGAAGTGTCAGATATGTGTGCAGTAGGTATAGGGTGTTGGGATGGGTTTATTTTATATATGTGGTTATGAATATTCAAATATATAGATATGACTCTATTCTTAGAAACAGAGATAACTCAGTAACAAAAAACAGGCGACAATTCAACAGAAACGTGAGGTGATGGAAAGAAGAAGTGAAATGGTCTCGAATACTGAAAGGGAACGTATGTACGTACACAGGGATTTGCACACGTACACGGGCGAACCTGTATACATACTCAGAGGGAACATGTATACATACATAGGGATCTGCACACGTACACAGGTAAACTGTACATCTATATTCAGAGTGAGTGAGTGAGTTTAGTTTTACGCCGCACTCAGCAATATCCCAGCTATAATGCGGCAGTCTGTAAAAAATCGAGTCATTGACCAGACAATCCAGTAATCAACAGCATGAGCATCGATCTGCGAAACTGGGAACCGAGGACATGTGTCAACCAAGTCAGCGAACCTGACCACCGATTCCGTTACTCGCCTCTTACGACAAGCATGGGTTACTGAATATCAATATTCTAATCTAGAAATTCACGGCTTACATACTCAGAGGGAACATATATACGTACACAGGGATATGCACATGTACAAAGGTGAAACTGTAAACATATTCTGAGTGAACATGTGTGCATATATGGGGATCTGCACACATACACATGTGATCCTGTATACATACTCAGTTGGAACATATATACGCACAAAGGGATCTGCACACGTGCACAGGTGAACCTGTGTATATACACAGAGGGAAGATATATACATACTTTGGGATCTGCTTAGGGATCGTATTTAGGGGCGTGGTGGGCGAGCTGGCTAAGGCGCCAGGCTAGTGATCCAGCGGGCATGAGGTGCCGGGATCGAGCCCACCTGTGACCGGGTGTAAAAACCCTGGAGTCAACTTTGTGTGCAGACTCTTTCCGTGTTGTTACAACCCCTAGTGTACACTACACAACCCTGTGCACTTAAAAGTCCCACGAATCCGTTGGTATATGACCAGATGGTGGCCACATGAATACGTGCAAACACCTAGTTGCAGGTACAGCAACGTGCATTAAACTTGGACAAATACTGTGACTATGTGTTCCCCTCCACCCAGCTGTAAATGGGTACCTCGTAAGGATGGGAAAGCCGCAATAACTCGGTGCGCCAGCAAGAGTTGTATGCTCCCCAGGGAGATTGATTTGATAATACGATGTGCCGTTGAGATTGACATCCAATGATCGAGGGGGGAAAATACCAGCGCCTTGAGCATGCACTATTGCGTGGATATGTGCGCTATATAAATATCCAAGAATACTACTACTACTACTAATAATAATAATAATGTGCACACTTAAACAGGTGAACCTGTAAACATATGGAGAGGGAACATATATACGTAGTTACGCACATTAGTACACACAGGGATCTGCACAAATAAAGATATGAAATTGTATGCATTCTCAGTGGAAATCCCTGGTTTTACACATTCCCTGTAACATATATATACGTACATAGGTATCTGCACACGTAAACAGGTGAACTTGTATGCGTACTCAGTGGAAACATATGTACATACATAGGGATCTGCACACGTAAGAAAAGAAAAAAATGAAAGAAAAAAACTGTATTACCCTGAATGGGAATTTGCTGTACATCATCACAGAGCACACATATGAATATAGGATGAATAATATAAATATAATAGCGTTTGTCACAGGTAAAAGTACTGTACATAAATCATTCAACACAGATTAAAGATATGCAGGTAAAACAGTTATGATTAATATAACAACAATGTCCATATACAGGTAAAGATTAGATTTGTATGTAAACAAACATCATTTATTTTTTAAAAAGCCGATGCTGGACGGGATGAACGATTTCAGGGCTCTATTTGATTTAAATTTTGGAATTTGGAAACGTCTGCCAGATGGTAAAAGTTTATATTCTGTGTTTACAATGTGTGAGGAGTCATGTAAGATTTTATTTGCCAAAGTTAAAACTCTTTCCTCATACACGTAAGCCAAAGGGGGGCGGTGGGGTAGCCTAGTGGTTAAAGCGATGGCTCGTCACGCCGAAGACCCGGGTTCGAATCCCCACATGGGTACAATGTGTGAGGCCCATTTCTGGTGTCCCCGCGCCGTGATGTTGCTGGAATATTGCTAACAGCGGCGTAAAAACCAAACTCAGTCAGTCAGTCAGTAAGCCAAAGGGTCGAAATCCACAATTGCGATTTTACTGCTTAATTTGACGATTTTGTTGAGTTTGTTTCCGTTTTGAACTGACAGGGATCCATACCAGCACTGGATTGAGAAGGTTAAGACACTTTTTAAAATAAAGTACGATAAAACAGCGAGAGAATAGTTTTGTCAACATTAAAAGACCGAAATATAAACGTTGTTGACGTTTAATGTATAGAGCATTTGTATTATCATTCCTATTCAATTTGTCATCAATTGTTGTACCAAGATATTTGTAGTTCTTAACAATTTCAACATCTGAACCATGGACAATGACTGGTAAATGCACAGGCTTACTTGTTCTGAAGTCAATTATCATGTCTTTAGTTTTAGACACATTGAGCTCTAAGTGATTGTCTTTACACCAGCTTGTGAGATTCACGATTTCCTGTCTGAAGGCGTCCTCGGTGTTGGTCAACAGGCTTACAAGAGCTGCGTTGTCAGCAAACTTAACTATAGAGCAATCATCATGCTGGCTAACAAAGTAATTTGTCTACAATATGAACAACACCGGTGAGATTACGCAACCCTGTGGAGCTCCAGTGTTGGTGATCAGTGTCTCTGAGTGATATGTGTTCACTCTAACAATTGTGGTCTTTCAGTTACAAAGTTTTCAATCCTTAACAAGAGGTTAAAATTCACATTCATAGATAACAGGCTTTCCAATAAAAATATGTGAATGAATTGTGTTAAAAGCAGACGAGAAGTCACCAAATAAAATGCCTACATAGGATCGTGGCTTTTCCAAATGTTTATATACATTATTAAGAATAGTTAGTGTTGCATCCTCGACTCCGCGCTTGGAGCGGTAGGTGAACTGTAACGGATCGAACTGTTCTGAGACGTTATGGAGTAGAAATTGCAGCACGTACACCGGTGAACCTGTATACATACTCAGTGGGAAAATGCATACGTACACATGGATCTGCACACGTACACAGGTGAACCTGTATTCATACTCAGAGGGAACATATATACGTACATAAGGATCTGCACATGTGCACAGGTGAACCTGTATCTATACTCAGAGGGAACATATGTACGTATATATAGATCTGCACACGTGCACCGGTGAACCTGTATACATACTCAGAGGGAACATATGTACGTACATAAGGATCTGCACATGTGCACAGGTGAACCTGTATCTATACTCAGAGGGAACATATGTACGTATATATAGATCTGCACACGTGCACCGGTGAACCTGTATACATACTCAGAGGGAACATATGTACGTACTCAGGGTTCTGCACATGTACACAGGTGAACATGTATACATACTCAGTGGGAACACATATACATACACAAGGATCTGTACACGTACACAGGTGAAAGTGTACATACTGAGAGGTAACATATATACGTGCAAACGTACAAACGTACACACAGGGATCTGCACACGTAGACAGATTAACCTGCATATATATACTCAGAGGTAGCATGTATGCTAGTCTCTCGTACAGACCCTGAAGCAAATATATCCAAGAAAGCCCACACAAGTCTAGAAAATGTGGCAAGTCTAGATTTCCTCAGCTCTGAAAATGAAGAAAGTCTCAGGGCTCCTTTTCATTATATATATTTTTTTTTTTTTACTATGAACTTTTTTCAGTAAAATATGTTCATTTCAGAGACTAGTTGTTAGTCTACATGTATGCCAACGCATGAATTTTGACTTTTCAAATGATTTACGTTGTGATTTTTGAGGGATTAAAATTGCCAAAACATCAGGTACGTGCTTTCACTGTACGTCAGTTTAGTTAATTTGCGATTAAATGTGAACGAATATGTTTTTGAATTTCCTTTGTGAAAATGCACCTTAAAAACCACTAATAATTAGGACAAGTACGTTTATTGCCCTCGTGTACCATAAACACTGATTCTATATTAATTCACCAATTGGCAAAACGCAATTGCCCGAATTAACGAGGTCTGTGACACAGGTTCACAATCGCATTACCAACACTAATGACTTCAACGTTTGGCCACATAAACGTACAATAGCTTTATATAGATTGTGAGCCACATATAGATAAGCGTTATCTTCTGTGATATATATTCTATAACATCACATGTGTGTCAGAGATTTAATCAACAAATGCGTCATTCATTTCAAGATATATTTTATGCCATATTGATTCTGTATGATAACGGCTATATTCTTTATCATCTTCAGCAGAATCACCACTGCTGCCGCTGCCACCGCCGTCATCATCATCATTATCACCATCATCACATCAATCTCTGCAAATCAGAATTAGCATCAACACAACGTGTGCAATATATGGAGATGTCACGAGCCAGCACTTAAACCACTTTGAAGCTCCAGTGTCGACAACAATGATAAGGTGAGTGGGTTTCTCTGCAACACGAACATTTCAGGGTTTTTTCTGCATTCTCAGTTTTTCCTCAAAAGTAACCTCTAGCCTTCGAGGAATTATTGATAGGTTTGTGATTATTAAATAGCAGTAACAGAAAAGAGCAGAATTTTATTTCAGTAACAGGCCTCCGGCCCAAAATACATATGCATAAATTGATGGATAATTAGAGCACATGTAATGTATTTCATTCAGTTTTTCTTGTCAACAGCGTATACAAATAGACATTCATCCTTGATGATATTAACATTTTTACTCTGTAATATATATATATATATATAATGTCATTTATCTTCAACAACGAAGATGCCATT